CGATGGTTAAGAACTGGCTTGGGATGCCAGAGGGCCCCGGTTCGGATCCCACATGAGGGCCAGTGACACTGCCCTCCACAGCTAAGATGCTGAACAACAGCTCAACCTGGAGCTGGGCTGCCCTGAGTCGCCGGTGATGGCGTAGGCTGCAGCCTCTGTGGCAGTGGATTGCCATGGGCTACCGCGTGCAGCCAGCGTGAGCGGCCAGCAGCCGCAGTGAGCGGCCATCCAGAGGCCGGATACTGATCTGCCTCGCCAGGGAAGAGAGCAGTGATGGTGCCAACTTGGGCCAGTGAAGCAACGTCCTCCACAACTAGACTGAAGAACAAAACGACAGCAACTTGTCTATTCCCCTTCCCCCAATTCCCCAGCACTGTTCCCATCTCCCCGATTCCCCAATAAAAATCTTAAAAAAAAAAAAAAAAGCAATCATGAACATTTCTCAAAAAGCCAAAATTAATGTCAGATGACATTAATAATATTAGTTTGTCTATCAGACCAAATTGGACTTTTACAGCAATCTCACTTCTGCCAAGGCCAGCTCTTCTGTGTGCTCTTGCTCCCACCAGTGCCTGCTTTCTGATGTTTCTGGCTCCAACTATCATCCTTTCTGCTTCTTCAACCCCTAACCTCTCTCTTTAGGCTTATTCCCCCCAAGCATGTAAACATGTCAAGTTACCTACCCTTCTCTGGTAAGAAGTCACTATTCAACAAATATTTATCAAGTGCCTACTAGGCACCTCATTGTGTGCAAGGTATTGGCACTGCCTGCATGAAGCTCTGATGAGGTCGTGGAGAAGATTAACCTCGAAATTCTAATCTATTTTGCTCTAGCTTAATAATTCCTTCCCAAAAAACCTCCCATTATCAAAAGTTATGTTATAAAAGCAACTGTTCAAAGGAGGTAAAAAGGAGTCAGGGGCCAAAGTTTCAGACTCAAACTAATAAATTCATTTTCCTGCAAGCCTTTCAATATATAAAGTGTGAAGTAAAAGTTCTCATACTACTAAGCAAGTCCAGCTTTTAGTTATATTTAGTTTTTGCTCAAGAGTATAGCCTTTCTTTTCCTACTCCAGTTAGCATTGCTAAAAAAGCAAAACTCTCCTTGAACATTATCATAAATATCACCCACTGTTGTGCTATACAAAGCAGAAAGCTCATTCAAACACTTTTTCCCTACTCAAGCACAAGTAGTTTGCTAAATGCAAATTGTGTTCCCTAAATTATCTGCTGCTGCATTAGACTCAATGCACTGCTATGAAAAGGGAAGTCATGGGATGCTACAGAAATACATGGGGCGGGGAGGGGGAAGGTGTCATACTCTGCTTGGGAGAGTCAGGAAGGCACTCCCTAAGGAAGTGAGACTTCAGGGATGAGTAGAAAGTAGTTAAGCAAAAGGGGAAAGAAATGTGGGAAAAGTTGTGCTAATGCAGAGAACTACATTTATAAAGGCCCAAGGGAAGAACGGATACACACATTTAAAGGAAAAGAACTTAGTGGAAAACAGAGAAGTCATACATGAAGACAGGACATGTGGTCTTGTGAGCCATAGGAGGTGTTTAAAGTTTACATTACCAGCAAAAAGTAGAGAAGTCACATGATCACGCTTCATTTTACTAGCTTTCCTCCTCTCAATCCCATCAAGTTGGAGAATTCTCAAAAGAGCAGCGGACACTTGCTCACTTGTACTTCTTCCTACCTTCTCAACAACCGGCATCTCACTTTTGTACTCTTCTGAAATTGGCTCTCGTTAAGGCATCTGTTGATCTTCTAGTTGTTATTTGACAGGCCCTTTCAGTTTTTTACCTTATTTGTCCCATCTGCAGCATGTGGCCCTGCTGACTATTAATTCCCTCCACACTCCGCCACCAATTTTCTCCCCATTTCTATGGCTATACCTCTCCAGTCTCTTTTTGCAAGCTCCTTTTTCTCTACCTATGCCCTTAAATGTTGTCTGTCAAGATTCTATCCTTGGCATTCAGCATTTCCAAGCCCTCTATATTTGAACTCACTCATGGCTAGGACCTCAAACACCACTATGTGCTCATGACTTCCAAAAATACATTTTGGAAGCTCAGACCTCTTCTGAACCACAAATTTATATATTAAACTATTTCTATTTTGATGCCTTACTACTTCAAATTGAATTGAACATTTCAAAACCAAATACATCTATTCCCTTACCACTTCAACTCTATCTCCCCTTCATTCCTCCTGCCACTGCCTTAGTTCATTCTGGAGTTCAACATTTCTCTTCAGGTTTACTCCAATAGCCTACATCCCTGTGCTACCTGTGTACACTTAGCCCCATTCAACCTACTGGTAGAATGATCTTGCTGAAAAATAACTATAATACAATCATGATACTTCCAGGCTTAAAATTCCTCAGTGATACCTATCAATCAGCTCAAATTCCTTGGTCTGATTTACAAGAGCTCCTCAACTTCACGCCACACTGCTTGCCAGGCTAAATTGTTGGTGGTTCTCTTCGCATTCTATGCTCTACCTCTGCACACATTTCTTCCTTTCCTGGAACACTAATTCTCTCCCTCTCCATTACTCTCTTCACCTGGCCAACTTGTCATTCAGGACTTAGGTAAGGCCCTTTCTCCTTCAGGAAGCTTCACCAGAACTTCCAGTGCACCCCTTTGGGGGAAATAAAGCACCCTGTGCTTAACACTACCTTTTGCACTTAACTACTTTTACACTTTCATCTGTTTACCCATTTACTACTCCCCACTAGGCTGTATCCTTGAGAGCAGAGACTCAGTCTAACACTGGCACATAATAGATGCATTATGAATGAATGAATTACAATGAGGCCCTCAAGAGAACAAGTCCTAGAATGTGAGGTCCTAAAGAACAGGAACTTTGTCAGTGGCATTCTCTGCTAAATCTGGAAGGCCCAGAGCAGGGGCTGGCACTCCACAGGTGCTCAGCATGTATTGGTAGAATGGCTCAATGGATATTCTAGAGTCAAAGGAAAACACTCTGAAACTCTTTCTAGGCTTGCTTTCCATTACTAACTTTCTTGGTTTGTGACCTACTTTTACTATAACACTAATGTGTATTGCATGATCTCCCCTGACCAAACTAATACTCTTCTTCATCCATTAGGAAGAAAATAATAAGAGCATTGACCAATCCACTGAAGAATTCCTGGGCAGGAGTCCATGGAAGGGTTTCCTTAATTCCTTGAAACTAAATGTGAAATTTTCAGTGGTTGTAAGTGCATTTTTTTTGATGAGAAGGATTACAGCTTTCATTGACTTTTCAAGGCTATTACACCCCTCCCCCCCCAATCAAACCACTTGACCAAAATGTTAAGCTGAATTAACTTGCAGCATTCACCTTTCTCTTCTCTGTATTTTGAATACATGACTAGCAACTTGAATAGCAGCCTCTGCTTAAAACAAAACAAAACAAAAAAAAACTGGAGAAGACACAGCTGGCAGGCTCTCACACAGAGTCCCACTAGAACTTGCATTTAAAATTTTCTAAAATTGGAAAAGTCCTTACCAGCATTCTTTAAAGTTAGTACCCTAGTCTAACATACTCTGTATCCATTTGAATCAAGTTATTTATTTTACTACTGGCTAATGGGATCAAGAGGAAAATGTTACATTCTGAATATAAGAAAACATTTTTTACTGTCATATAATTAAATGGAATGGGGGGAAAACCGAGGGCCATCAAGATTTACAGGAAAGCCTTTACTTTTTCTTCTTTTCCTGTACAATGAACTGAACAGCAGGAGCAGCATTTAACTCACAACCACTCAATTCAATCTTGGGAATAATTTGCTAATAATTAAACAGTAGAGAACAGGTAATTAGGTCATTTTAAAAGAGATAAAATTGTTTGAATTAAAAGGTTCTCTAGTTGAGCCAAAAAAGCTAGTCACAAAAAGAGTTCCCTATGAGTCCATTTACATGAGTTCGAAAACAGGCAAGTTTATCCTATGGTGATAAGAAATCAAGACAGTGGTGGCTTATAGGATGGAGGAGAGTGAATGACAGCACCTTCTGGGGTGATAAAAAGGTTATTTTGATTTAGGTGGTGTTCACACAGGTGTATATGTACATTTATGAAACTCGCTTAACTACATACATAAGATCTGTGTATTTTATTGTATGTAAAGTGTGCCTCAGTAAGGAAAATTGAAGAGTAAGGAAAATTAAAAGAAATCATTATTTCTTTTAATACAACCCAAGCCTGTTCTTGTTCCTGGAACCTTTTTGTGGAGGACAACCCACACCCTGAGAAACTCGGCTCTCGAAAATGTAGACTCGAAAATTCGCCAGGAGCTCTCGCCAGCACCACGGTTTAGGCACTACAATTTCGAGAGGTCCAGGTACCACCCACAACAACCAAGGCAAGAGCTGGCAACACCTTCGGAAATGGGTGTCGTGGCCGGTCTCTGCTTGCTCGGCCAAAAAACACCTAGCCAGCGGAAAAACAGTGTCCGTGGGCAATGACAGGGACAGGGGCGGGCAAGCGACCGCGAGGCTGCAGTTGCCCGGCGCTGCGAACCCCCAAGGCCTCTCCGCCCCCGTCCCTCCCCACGGTTCCCGGCGGCCTCACCGCTTCCCGGGGTCTCCCAGATCGCCTGCGGGCCTCACCGGTCCCCCCACCCACCGGCCTTTCAGCCACTCGGGTTCCCACCCCCACCCCCCGGACCAAGAAACACAACCACGCCCGCCACAAGGCGCCGCTGTAGCGCCACATTCCAGAACTAACACTGCGCTTGCGCTTAGATAGGCAACCCCCCGCCACCACCACCACCATCACCACCACCACTTCACACCCCCACCCCACCATCTAAAGTCTTTTTTTCAAAACGGACCAGCGACTCGGTCGGCGCAGGCGCAGCCCTGACGCGGCCTGCGCGCCGCCACTTCCGCCCTGAGAGGGAGGCGGGGGAGGCGGGAGGGAACCGGCGGGCGCGAGCCCGGATCCACGGCGGAGTACGGAGGCTGCCGCGCGAGCCCTCGACTCACCAAATACAGCTGCTGCCAACGATTCTGGGCATCCAGCTCCTCAAATTCCCGCTCGATGGTGGTAGACATGGCCGCCGGAGCGAGCTAGCGCGAGCGGAGCCTGTGCCGGCGGAGAGGCTCAGGCCCCCGCAAGATCCGGGGAGCGTGCTGGCGCTGTGGCGCATGCGCGCCCCGCGCCCCGCCCCGCCTCCACGCTAAGCCCGACCGACTGCGGGGAAAGTACCTGGAGCGTAGGACGTCAGCGCGTCGAATGGCGCGTCGCAGGGTCGGGCGGCGGCGGCGTGGGGGGAGGGGACAGGCGGGGCGCTCGCAGGAGGCGTGGCTCAGAGGGCGCTCAGGTGGATAGGGGCGGGGCCAAGGGGACCACCCAGAGGCAGTAGTCCCAGATCGTTGGGCAGGAGTTGGCCTGCCCGCTGGCCTCGCGAGTAATGGCCACGGGGAGGATGTGGAGTACCACGAGGTTCGCATGAATGGAGCAGGCCAGGAAAGTCCCCTAAAAGCTTCTTCCTTTTTGCTGTCCCGTTATTTTATTTTAAACATCACCTAGGTCAGTTGAGCGGCCTGTGTCCAACTTTAGAACAAATTTGTCAGCCTTTTCAAAGAATATAAACCAGCCCTAATGCCTGTTACTTAACGCCTGGAGGGTTTTGTGACAAATCACAATAGCAAAAGGAGAGGCAACCTTTCCTGGAATTAGGGAGAATACAGCTTGTTAAGTAAAGGTTATACAATTTAAAAGTGTAAAAAGAGTATATCGCCCTTTATCAAACAAATACAGTGGTTACAGAAATCATCTCACTTCAAATTAAGATAATTCACTGTTGGTGAACTCATGTGTTTATATTATCTCCATAAGAAATGTGAAGGGTTTGTTGAAAAAAAAAAAAAGTAAACCTGAACATCTAAATTGGCTTTATTAAACAATTAATGAATTGGGAAGCATCCCTTCTAGCAATTAGAAGGCTTCTCTGAGGGGTTGTACAAAATGGGAGGTTTTTTAGAAAGGCAATTGGAGCAAGGAAGCTAGTAACAAAAGAAAAGAAAGTATTATTTTCACACCAGATATCTTTTTCCGGGATGAAGGGAAAGGCAATGGTTTTTTTCATGCAGATTGCCTCTTCTTTCTGGGGGTGTGGCAATGGAGAAGGCCCACTTGACAGATGACCTCATTGGTATTGACTAGAAAATTCCAGACTCTGATTATGTTTCTGGGAGAGGTTGAAACAGCAATTAGGTCAGGTATTAAATCTGGGTTTGGTATCTTGGGCTTTGGCACAAGTGACACCATTTTGTTAAATTTTGTTAGTTAAATTTTGTTTTTTAACAAGCCGAATCTCACTTCTACTACAAGGCTCATTGCAGTGGTCCCTATACCTATCACAATAGTTCCCCTCCACCCTTGAATAAAGTCTCCCTCACCTAATCCTCAGCAAGCATCATGAATATTTTTTTCTTTAACAAATTAAAATTTTAGTTCCTCAGTTGCACTGGTGTAAACAAAAAAAAAAGGTGTTCTGTAATAAATCTGACTGAAAGTACCTCCCAAGGTTATCAAATCATAAAATTTCTAATTGGGCAGGTCCTGGTGGTTAATCATGTCCCAGGCCTATAAAAAGGTTTATTTTTACCTTAAGCAAGCCCTGTCCACTGTTCTTGTGTTCTAGGTTAACACACTTTGGAAATGCCACAGTAATCCTCTTTTTCAGACCCCTCAAAGGCATAACCATTGTGGGGGAGGAACAAACTTTCCTTTACCCTCAAAGTTCTGACATGAGATAGCAAGAGAAAATAACCAAATTTAATGCATACATATGTATGGGAACCCCGCAAACATGAGTGAGTCAGAGACCACACTTGCATGAGAGATTCACAGATAGAAAGGTTTGAGGCACATAAGACATCCTGAACTAGGAATGAGGTACTGCACCTTAGGAGCTTCAAAGGGTCAATGCAGGTTTATAAGAACAGCAAATGTTTAAGTGTCTTGGTGTAGAATTAACCCCTGGTCGTTCGCAGAATGTAAAAGAATTTACGAGACTCTACAAGAATATCCAGAGAAAAGATTTACTGAAAGTCAAAAAGGGAGAGTGAGAGTTCTGTTTGGACCCGGCAGAAGTTTTGCCAGGGCAGTCTGAGATGAAGAGCTGCGGAGACAGAGGGGTAAGAGAGAGATACTGGCAGGAGTTGTGCCAGGACAGAGTCCAATGGTGGACAGCTGCACTGATGAGAAGGAGTGTTGAGGTTTTCTATTTTTCTAAGAGGGATGTAGGGTGCTTGTCAGCTTGCAGGAGGGCTGCCGTTAGAATTATCTTCTCCTGGGAACTGTCCTGTTCCAATCTATGATGGATGTCAGCTTGTAGGGGTTTGCAGTTGTGATTGGGAACCATTCTGTTCCCATCTATGATGGGTGTTTGTTAGTGTGCAGGGGGTTGGCTTTGCGATTGGGAACTGTTCTGTTCTCACCTATGATGGATGTAAGGTGCTTGTCAGCCTGCAGGTGCAGTGCTAGCCAGGGGAGTCAGAGCCAAGTGGTTAATGTTTAAGCTCATTCCTGTTACCCACAAGTTCGCTCCTGTTAACTTCTTGCCCGTCACATCATGCCAACTCATAAGCCTGTTCCTGTTAATTCTTTATTCGTCTCATCATTTAGTAAACAAGTTTTCCCTGCCAGATGGGGGGAGGGTAAAAAAGTTATTGCTGATAATCTTACTATGGAGAAGACCCCCTAATTCAAGTTCTTCTAGGTAATTAAAGGGAGGGGCAGAAGTTTCCCTTGAGCCTGAAGCTAAAATTGCCTTTAGCTCAAAACAATCCTCATACCACTGAGGCACATCTTGAAGTGGCTCATTCTGAACCCCTATACCACTCAAAAGAGCACATAATCTTGTTAACAAGTGATCTTCCTTAGGTTCCCTCCTTAATTCCAAATGTATAAAAGAAACTGCAATAGTGTCATTCTCTGGAGCATTCAAGACCTTGCTTCCTGTCATGTCATCAGTTTGGTTCAAATAAATTCATAAAAGTTCTCTATGGGTTTGGTTGTTTCTGATGATGACACAGGCCACATTTTAAATGCTCAATAGCCACATGTGGCTAGTGGCTAATGTATCGCAACACACATATCATCAAAGTTCTGTGGGACGGAACTGCCTGAGAGGATTAAAATATTTGGGGCAAAAACATGTTTTTATACATGTAAAATAATGGAAACACTGATCAGAAAGACTAGTAAGCTATGGGAACTAGAAGAAATCTTAGTAACAGCAGAATGTTAAGCAGTCAACCAGCCTTTTTCCTTAAATAATGCAATTTAGGAATAAAGCAAATTCTCGAATAATGTTGTTTTGTTCAACATTGTTTTGTTATAAGGTAGATGAAATACCATAGGAAATTAAGACTTGTTTATATCAATTAGTCTATGGTAAAACTGGTTTTGTTATACAGTGTTTCACTTAAAGTTACAGAACCTATCGAAGATGTTAAGTGAGGACTTACTGTACATGAAATCTCCCTCCAGAATCTAATTGTCCTGGTTTCTGTAATTCTGTCATTGAAATTGAAAAAACAACATTCAACTGAGTATATTTGCAGATCTAATTGGCTTTTTAAATGGTTCATGAATCAGGCACTATCCCATCTAGCAACTAGAAGGGCATTTAAAGTAGTTATACAAAATTGAAGGAATTTATAGGGAAAAGGGTGGGACAAGGGAATTTGAAAGAAAAGAAAGGATTATTTGGTGGCTGGGACATCTTTTCTATGGGAAAGAGAAGAAGAGTATTTATTATATAGATTGCCTCTTCTTTCTATGGAGGATGGAGAGGACCCATGGGACAATTACCTTACTGGTGCTTGACCAGAAAATTCCATACAGGTTGATTAAGATTATGTTTCTGGGAATGGTTGAAACTGCAGTTAGATCAGATGTTAAATCTGGGTTTGGTATCATGGGCTTTTAACACGAGTGACACCATTTTGGGCCCGTGGTTTTTTTCTTTAACAAAACTGATTATTTAGATTAAAGGCATGGTATCTCCCAGGTTACCTCATGATTGTAGCATCAATCAGCTCATCAGATTGCTTTCCAATCTGAAATTATATACTGTTCTGTAAAGGAAAGACAATCCATTTATCCCCTTAAAATCAACTGATTTCCTCCAAGTTTAGAAAAATGGTGGTGGTGAGAGGGTATTTCCCTGAAGGGAAGAGCATCTTGATCTCAAAGCAACAATTATTTTCACCAGATATTTACCATCCTTTAGGAATTCACTTGTCAACTTCCTTGGTTGGGGGAGTAGTGCTTCCCCTACTAACAGTTTGTCTCAGTTCTGAGTACAGCTAAGATTCTAAGGCACTGGTTCTCACACCAGCATCATTTGCAGAATTGTTAGCTTGTTAGAAATGCAAATTTCAGATCCAACCCCAACCTACTCAATCAGAATCGCTGGTGATGGGAGTCCAGGAAACAGCATTAACAAGCTCACCAGGAGATTCTTATGCATGTTAAAGTTTGAAAACTATTGCTCTAGAAAAATTGGTATACAAGGCTTTCCTAAAGCTCAGAGATGAAAAGAAAACAACTGAGAGTAACTGTTACCGGAGAGCAGGCCCTTCTCAGTGTGATGCCCGGGCTTGTTTTCCATACTGGGAGTCAAACCTGGGCCTCCTGGAGGAAAACTGGGAATCCTAACCCCTTCAGCTTGGCTCTCACACCGGGGGTCGAACCTGGCGGAGTCTGGGCTAGGTTCCCACACCAGGGGTCAAAACCAGTCCTCGAAGAAAACTGGGAATCCTAGCTGCTACATTGCCGAAGGATGGGCCCTCTTTGGCACAGTGTCCAGGTTCTTGGTGTCTCGAGCAAAGAATTGAATGAGACACAGAGGTAAAGTGGTGAAAGAGAAGTTTATTAGAAGAAAAAGTACACTCCAAAGGGTTAGGAGCTGGCCAAGCAAAAGCACAGTAAAGACTGCAGCTTAAAGGCTTAAAGGCTCAAACGGGCTCAAAGGATCAAGGGCCCTGAGGACTTGGGAGTTTTTATTCCTTTTTTCTCTAGAATGGGCTGTTCCTCTCTGGGCGTTGGACCACCTGATTGACACCTGTGATTGGCAACAGACTATTCCCTCATCTCTTTAGATTGCGCATGTTCCTTCCTAGAATTCAGTCTGTTATAATGATATAATGAACTTCTGGGTATATGTATAATATTAGAATGATGGTATAATGAAGCCCATGTGAAATGAAGGTCGTTGTGGCCTTTA